GGATCTCCCAGCCCTCTCCCACATCCTTACAGCCTTTGACTCAGTGGACTACTTACCCTGACTATGTGTCCCATGAAGCAGTCAGCTGCCCATACACAGCAGATATGTATGTTCAGCCTATGTGTCCCAGTTACACACTGGTTGGACCTTCATCTGTTCTGACCTACACTTCTCAACCGCTGATCACCAATTTTGCAGTAAGTCAAAAATACCTAGGTATTAATGACAGCAAATTCCTCACCTTCCAGCAAGAGCCACAGGGCGTGACAGATGTAATTAGAATAATTAATTTAATTACTATAATGTTGTGTGTCTTTGCATTCATGTCACACATTTGTTCTAGCACTGGCTCTGTCTGCACTAATATGGTTTGAGCAGGACAAAATTTGTGGCTACACTGTTAGCCGGCATACTTCACTGCCATTTTCCCATCTCTCTGCACTCCTCCAGACTTTCCATGTTAATAACATATACACTTTGCCATTGTCCTGGGAAATGAGTCATCTTTCATCAGGTCAGTAGCAGGATTGCTATTGCCCTGAGTTTGTTCAAGTCTATGAACAGTTATTTACTCTAGGAGAATGCTGTTTGCAGCTCAGAGATAGTAATGGGGAATGTTACCTTTTACTGTTGTCATCACTTCCAACTTGAGGAGCTGTTCTTCAGCTTGGATTTGGAAATACCTGAGGAAGTAGAATTAAAGTAGTTCACTGAGTGGGTGCATATCATAGTCAGTAAGTGCTGATGTATGTATAAGTGCTTAGGACACAGTCCCTCCAGAGAGCTGAGCAGTATCCAGGAAATTCTTCACTATTTTGTTCTAAACTTTTTGGGGGGAGAAAAAATTAAAAAAAAAAGTAAATGGGATTCCAGGAAACACATCCATCAGGTAAAGCAGGAAAAATAACTTGGCAACCAATTTCTCAAAAATTGCTATTTGAAGTTTGAAGAGCAAGGACAAAATAGGACATAAACATCAGAATATTTGGTTCAGGCTGGACAAAATATGTTTGGCTGACCCAAGATGATTTGTTCTTACTTAGAGGAGAAGGGCAGAGAATTCTGTTTCAACTGAACTCAAGCAGCTTATTTTGCTTTTAACATTTCAGTTCAGCTGCCTGAACTGACTCCCCAAATCAGCAAAGGCCCTTGTCCACATCCTGTGGCCTTCACTGGTGAGGAAGGGCTATCGTTTCAAGTGTGGCTCTGTCTTGGCTGACAGGGCTGGTCAGGATGCACTGTCACAGAGGCCAGAATAAGCTGCCTTCGGTCTTGTGGCAGCAAAGTTGTACCCATGCGTTCAACTTGCAAGAGAGACCCGTCAAAGAGGGCAGTTTTCAGGACAGGCTGTAACTGTCTCGTGGGCTTGCAGTGAGGGTGGGAGTGGGAACAGAAAGCTAGAGGGAACTTGAGTTAGCGTGAGCTACTGCCAGCAAGCACCTGGGACACCCACAGCCACCGCTCTCATGGGAGCCGATGTGGGAAAACTGACACTCAGTGTAGGCCTTTACCCAGAGAGACAGGAAATGGGATGTTAAAAGTGAGACTTGTTTTGTGTCCTCCCTTCACCCCACCTAGCCAATTGTTTTATTTTGTTTTATTTCTCTTCTATTTTAACAGCCTCGAAGCACCCCACCTGCCGTAGTGCCTCAGCTGGAGGTGACGGATCAGCAGCCACCTCTCACATACTTTCCATGGGCACAGCCCCTCTCTGCACTGCCAGCCTCCACTTTGCAGTACCAGCCAGCTGCTTCCACGCTTCCCGGGCCACAGTTTGTGCCCTTGCCGATCTCCATTCCTGAACCAGCCCCCCAGGAGCTGGAGGATGCCAGACGTGTCATCGGCACACTGCCTATTGAGAAGCTGCTTCTAGAAGATGAAGACAATGATACGTATGTTTTAAACCATGCTCTCTCTGTTGAAGGGCTTTAAGTTGCACATCTGAGGCCTGATCCTCACCTACTCAATACTCCACCTGGCACCACAGTGAGTTTTGAGTAGAGAGGAAAAGCAGGCTGGGGGGTGGGAGCTTTACTTGAGATTTTGGTGTCTATCTCTAGCACACCATGACTTATGCGTTGTGTGAAACTTGCTTTGTCCTGGGGCCCAGCACAAGATTTCTCTGCTGTTGCAGTTCCTGCTACCTCTCCCAGGCAGGCTTTTGATACTGCACAGTTCCTGTGGTCAGCGACAGCACAGGGTGACTTTAATTCTCAGACACACTCAGGGTCTCAATTTGACATACTGTAGTGTAGCCATGGCCAAGTGTAGCATTTGGTGAGGGGACGCCTGCCTTTAGACATTGGCAAGACCTAGTTCAATAGGACTGCTTTCCAGAGCTCAGCGTATATGCTTTGCGTTTGTGTCTTTGTCCTGTCCACGGAAGAACCTCTGCCTGACCTAGGCCACTAGAAAACATTCTAAGGGTCTAAAGTGACATTTTTCTTTCCTAAATTGAACTGCTCCTTTGGAAAGTAGGAAGATGTAAAGTGTAGCTTTGTTCTGCTGGTGCATGTAGGTTGCATTAGTCTGAAGACAGAAATTCAATACAGCTGAACTCAATGCCAGTGCAGTCAGACGTCCTTATTTAGAAAGCAACACAAACTACCCTAGACAAAATGTTTGAATTTGCACAAAGGCGTAATTTGAAGGTCTCGCCTTGTCTGCTATTAGAAGAGAGCCATATAGGTGTGGGACAGTGGTTTGGAGTCATGGTCTTTCAGATGCAGGATTTTTTTGGACTCACAAATATTCACCTTTGAGATGGGGGGCTGATCTGTGGCTGGCTGGTAATGCTTTATGTTCTACCAATGGACAGATCCTGGTCCCACTGAAGTCACCGGGAGTTTTGCCTGAGTCAGGATTGCAAGACATGGCCCTATATCGGGAGATCATTGAGAATACAGGGTCTTACAAAATCTGGACGTCAGTCTAACAAGGAATCTGTGGTGTTATTATTAGCCTGCAATACTTTTTTTGTTCTGTAGCATTTGAGTGTGAACTCGGTGATGTTGTGCTGAGCCAAAGAATCTTAGTGACCTCTCTTGTGCCTTACTGCTATGAAAAGTTTCTCTGTGCTGTAGTCTCCCATACCCACAGGTGCACACATTTTCTTTATAGCTTTCTGATTTTCTTCCCTGAAGAATGAGTAGCTTTATTTTTTCCTCTGATGCAACTGTAAATATTATTGTTGATGCTCGGGAGTGCCATGCCACAGGCAAACGTATTTGTAGGAGATATATCCCCTTCTAACTCTGTTTATTGTTTTCTCAATAAACAAGGTACTCTTAGCTGGTCAATACAATTTCTCTGGGTTTTTCTGCTTTCTAAAGCCCAGGATCCTTAGGTGATTATATTATTTGCTTGACTAACTGCAAAATAATTTATTGCACTGTTTATTACCGGGTGTCCAGCAATCCAGTTGCCACCCAGGCAGTATTTCAAGTGACCTTACAGTTTATGCCTGAGTGAGGTTTGCAAGCTCAGGTTGAAAGTCTTAAGGACTTTCAAAGCATATTTTGTTATTTAATATTGACAAATCTGGAAGACATAAGCATGTAAGTGATCACAAAGTTGTTTGAAAATAGCAGTAGTTCAGGTGCATTGAAATTAGAGGCTTACATTTGCAGAAAAACCCAGTAAAGAAATTAAGTAGAAGGAGCTTAGTTCACCACTGCTTACTCCAGTTTTATAAGTACAAGGCCATTCAATAGGTAAAACTGAGGTAATGCAGTTGTGAACCAAGCTTGTGGTTGCTAAGATTGCTTTTAAATTTCTTTCACTCCAATGTATGTAAATTGTGTGTGTGAATATAAACCAACAATGAACTATTTCAGAATTTCTTTCTGGGTTGTTCTGGTTAGAAAAAGAGAAAATCTTTTTCAATAAAGATCTACAGTAACTTTCATATGCCTAGAGTGTTTTATTTCCTATCAAAAAGGGTAACCCAGCATTGGTTTAGCAATCAATTAGTTTAGTAGTGTATGTACAGGGTAGAACCACAGGTCAGCTGTGAGACTTTCTGCTAGTTTTGCACATTAAAGCAGACTAAGGAGGAACTCCATGATTCAAGTATGGCCTGAAGGCACTGTTTTCTCAAGCAGTCCTTACTCACAGAAGCACTCCTGCAGTTCAGATGTTAGTTCAATCACTACTATCCTCTATTAGCATATTGGCATTGGGCATGAGAGAAACTAGACACTCCTGTATGGCTAGGGGATCTACAGCCACAGCTAATGCTGAGCTGGACTGAAGATCAGATTAGCCATAAAGTTGTATTTCTGCTTCCTGAAATCGCAAGGTGTGGCTCTGGGATACAAAATTACCCGAGGAGAGAAATGACTGCTTACCACCTTCTGAGTTAAAGTGTCAAATGTTGCTGTCTGGAGTGAAACAAACCCAGGGGCTGGTACAACTGCCTGTAGGATGGTCTCCTCCTGTGCAAAGGGGAATTGCAAAGATACCTGTACATGCCCAGCACCCTTGAAAATAGGACCTGGGGAAATGGAAGTGGCGAGTAGCCCTGTGTAATTCTCTCCAGTTCCAGCCACAGAGCCAGGTAAACAAAGCGAAGCAGTGAAGTGTTTTCCCCATTGCTAAGAGCCATGTCAACAGCAAGCCCATAACTGCTATGAGCTGTGACAACACTTTGTCTCATGCACAAGGACTTGGACCCTCTCACCAGTAGTTTTAGTAAAGAAATAGAACTTAACAGACTGTTTACAAATACACTATTTAGAAGAGGCTGTTTGCTACCCCAGATGGTGAGATGCCACCAGTGCACATGAGGCCATATTGCCCCAACAAGTGACACACACATACGATATGGTATGCTGGACCCTCAGCACTAGGTTTTGTGGAGGACTTGGATACCTCCCAGCATAAGGGCAAATCTCAACTGAAAAAAGGTGCTGAAGTAGAAAGGAGACAGCATGTCAAAGCTCAGCAGTGTTGAGGGCTCTTGAAACCTGCAGTTAGTCCTGAGGTATGAAGCCCTTTCCATGGGAGTGGGTGCCTCCAAGGTCAAGCGCTTTGAGGCTTATGGTGTGGTTTTGTGGAGCACTGGGTATAAAACCCCCAAAGTGGCTATGCTACCGTGTAAAACTCTTTGCACCCAGGGTGGTTTGTGGCCAAGCAGTGATCAGTGTCTTTATTTACTGTCTTAGAATTCTACATATTTATGCAGCTAAAGGTATGAGGGCGTATACATTGGCAGCTGCAGAGCGCATGAAATTGCTGCGAAGACTTGATGCCAAGGAGCACAGAGGAAAGGTAATATGGATCACTCTGCTGCAAGCAGTGGTGTCTGGGATGGGCATGGGCTTTGAATGACTGAGAGAAACTGCCACCCTGAAAAATCCAGCTCTGTCTCTCTGTTACTGCCAAAGAAGCCTTTGGCACTGATATGCCTTGCTTAGGTGCCTCTGGCAGGATCCTAAAATTAGGTGGGATGGGAATGAGCTTGTTCTCTTTTCAGCCCATGGTCCTCAGTGATCTAAGACAGCACTGGTCCAGGATAACGTATACACATACATTGGCAGTAGTCTCTGGGACTGAAGGTTTCATGAACAACAGATTTACGCTAGGAGTGCTGCACCTGATATAAAAAGTGTTTTAAAAATGCTGGACTGGGGTCATAATCTAAATTAGGGCTGAAAAACACTAGAAGTTCAGAAGGAGCTGGACAATACCCCCAACTTGTGATGCCATGGGTCCTAATATTTGGGAATCAAAATCTGCCTGTGAACTGTCTTCGGTTTATGCACCATACTCCCTGGGATTCTAGGTACCATTCAGCCCACACTGCCTTTCCCCATGCCTTGTTTTATGATAGCATCTGCTTCTAGACTTACATTTTATCTGCTGTGCTGTTATTTTCAGACCCCTCTACTGGTGGCTGTCACTGCCAGGCAGCCAGCTATTGTCTATGATTTGATCCAGACAGGAGCAGATGTCAATGCTGTAGACAACAAAGGGCAGTCAGCTTTACATCTTGCTGCAACATATGGGTATGCCCAAGTTCTTCAGGTAGGAAAAGCTTTTATGGTTTTAATTGCTAGCAATATGAACCTACAATAAAGTCTCGATATTGATATCTCTAAGTAACTGTCTTGGAAGGCAAGATACCAGTAAGCAATGAAGACTGACCAAAGTCTCCTTTTCCATCATGTTATGAATCCACTTCCCAGGTTATTTCTGTTTTAGGACTATCCTGGTATCTAACATCAGCTTCCTGTTACAGAGGAAATGGCTTTAGAGTATCTGTGAGGGGAAAATAAATTCTTTCTGCAGATCATAGCTCTGCATCTGCTGATTGCAGACCAGGCAAAGTGGGCTTGCTCTGGCTTGAGGTCTCAGAGTTTTAAAGATACCTGCATTGGAGGAGGTTCTCCAGAGGCCACAGGCAGCTGTGGGGTTTGAGAAGAGGGAGCAATAATACGAGTGTGAAACCTCCTCCCTGATGTTATTGTTATCCAGATGGGAGCAACGAATTGTGTCCAGACTCAAGCCAGCTGAAGATAGAGCAGATGTGACCTTGCAGACGGAGCCAGCACAGGCACAGCCTTCAAAATAAGACACATTCTTCAGATTTTATGCAAAGCCAAGATCCATCAAGAAGATTTTCCAGGGCATGAGAGAAACTAGACAGTCCTGTATGGCCAGAATCTACTAGAGCTTTCATGACTGATATGGCCAGATCTCACTTCCCTAGTGCTTCACAGATCTTTTCGTAGTCCGGGTCTACATCTAAGTTGTGTGCAAGCCAGACTCCAACAACCCCGAAGAGCAAATAAGCACATTAGAAAAGGCGCCGTGGGAATTTTTGGAAGGGATTACAGAGCAGAGATAAGCATACTGGAATGTGTCTCTTAAATGCTTAGCTATTGGCCATAAAATAGAATTAACAAAGCATGCCTTCCTTGATTCATGTCAGGACTGAGGAAAGGCAGCTTCAAGGCAGAGTTTCATTGCAGCAGCATGGCTGCTGCTGGGTTTACCTGAGGTCAGGGCACAGGGTGCTCTGAGGATGAGGGATGTGCCAGTGGAAGTGCCAGGGGGTACGTGGCATGCTGGCAGTCCATCTCCAGTGTTTGTTAGCTCTGCCTGCTCATGCCCTGGATTAAGTCACAAGCAGGCAGTTAATGTGTAACATTACGGGTTCCTTGGAAAACAGGTGTATTATTCAGTGGGGGAAAGTGTTTTACATTCAGATGATTCCAACAAAGCCTCCCAGAGTGCCCTGTGGTGGTGTGCATTTTGTTTTGAGTTGTTTGGTTTTTGGTTTGGGTTTGTTTTGGGTTTTTTTGCCTTGACATAAAAAGGGAAAATGCACAGATGCCTGCTTCTTGGTGCAGTAAAGCCATAAAATGCTTTATGGTTTGTTTGTTTATTTTAATTCTTTTTTTCTAACAGATTAAACATCTAATCTCTAATCATCAGGCATCTCAGGACTACTTATCAATATTTGATCTGGTATATATTATATTGCTGTTATGAAAAAAGAGCACAAACCCTAACCGTTCTGCATAATCTTTCAGCAGAAGGATCCTGTCCCGTGCCTTGTCTAACTTGACAAAGTTCTGGATGAGTCACTGCACTGCAAAAATTCTCAGCTAAGATGCTGTAATGTGAACAGCTTGCTTTATTCGATCAAGAGCAAAAGATGCATTATCTGTAATAATATAGACAAGGAGCTACTTGGCTGCATCACTTCAAATCTATAATTTTCTTAAGTTAAAAAGTTTCAAAATTTTTACGCTCTGCTAAATCCAAGCAATGCTCATCTCCAGACCACTATTTCATGCCATTTATAGTCTCTGCATCCTCATTGCTGAAGCCAATGCAATAAGGTGTGGTTTTAACCTGTCACGCTGTTGTCCGTGTGCATGTTAAAAAGAAAAAGTAAATAAATCTGGTCTGAGAATTTCCAGTGTGAGCAAACTTTTAGGTCATAAAGTTTGGCTGTACATGTCAAAGAGAGATTTTCATGTATCCTTGCCAAGAACAAGTCAGAATAAATTTGAATTGGTGTTATTGGTGCCTTTGTTTAATCCAGGGTGAAAGCAAGGAGTCTAGCACTCTCGAGCTGGAGGAAGTGACTTAATTTTACTGTTCTGAACTGAGAATCTCATGGGATACCATACTTAGGTGGGGTTTAGGAAACTAGGGAGCATGATCCTCTTGTGTAACACTGAAAGTCCATGTTAGGAAATAGATTCATAGCACTGAAATCTAGTGTCAAATAAGGGCTTAGTTTGTAGTTAAATTATAATTATCTGATTGTTTTTTTGGGGGGGTGGGAAGGTTATTCTGGTTTGTTTGGGTTTTTTAAATATTTTGTTAGTTTTGACTGATTTTTAGCTTGGACAATATTCTTCTGAACTAAAATTTTCTATTTCTCTGTTGCTTTTAGGTTATACTGTCACAAGGTTTCCCTCTTGACCTAGAAATGAAGGATTTTGAAGGTAAAACAAATATTTTATAGTGGTATTTTTAAAAATTAAATACTATATTGGCTGTTTCATTGACTGATTCTCATTGGTATTTGATGGTGTGCTAGGAGGCCAGAGTGGCCTCAGAAACTGCCTGGGGGAGAGTCCTTGTTGTGTGCTGAAATGCCACAGAATTCAATAGTGCTGATGATGCAATGGGGACTGAATGCACAATTGGAACTGAGCACACACTGGAGTGCCCCATAAAGTGTCTATACAGCCAATATGGTCCCTTTGAAACCAGAAAAAGGCTTGTGCCTTCACAACACATGGGCAGAGGTGCATGTGCTCTCCCTGTCAGCACTCACTTCCTTTCCTTACCTCAGCATCTTAGTTGGGACTGCTGTTATCTTCCTCCCATACTTTCTGTAGGCCATACCCCACTCCACTGTGCTGTTCTGGCACACAATGCCCTGCTCCGGGAGCAGGGTTGCCAAACATTGACGGAGGAGCAGCAGAAAGATCTTCAGCACCAGAGCGAAGACCTGGAGTCCTGTATTCACCTCCTGGTGCAGACAGGAGCCTCCATCTACAGTCGGGTAAGGGATCAGCTGGGCTATCTGTGCGCTGTTTGTTTGCATGGGAACTTTCCCTTGCCCTGACACTTGTGCTCTGCTCAAACTATGGTACTGGAGAATGAATGAACTGCTGACAAAGGACCAAGCCTGTTCCCCTTTCAAGTGACTGGTTGCAGAGTTAGTTGCTGCCTTTTGGAGTTACTTTCTTGTAGCCTGAAGCAAACACTGGGCAGTGAGAGGGCCACTGAGGAGAAGGAGGTGCTCCACGTTAGCTGCAGAGCTGGCCTGGACTTTTCCCCGATGGGTTTATATAATGCCTTCAGGTTGTTCTGCAGAACTTTTCTTACTTTGTTTGGTTTTTTCTTTCTATTTTTAAATAGGATGTGAAAAGCAACAAGACAGTTCTTCATTATACAGTCCAGGATGGGAACATCTCCCTCCTCAGATACTTCTTGGAGCTGAATGCTTTCAAGTCCAAGGACTTTGTCAACAACAAGGTGAGTCAGGCCATGCAGGGACAGGGCTTGTGTGCACATCCACAGGCAGAGGAGATGGCCGAGAGCTGTGCTGCGATGGGAGGCTGCGTGCAGGCAGAGGCGTTGGATCTGTGGGGTCCTGCAAAGCCAGTTATTTTCTTTCCACACAAGAAAAGAAAGAGCAACAGCTTGTGAATCTGAACTTTTTTTTAAGTCTGAAACTGCATTTTCCACTCAATGGATACTACACCTGGAAAGCAGTCCCTGATTTAAACACTGAGTTGTGTCATGAAACAGAGGCCCCTCTCCCAGCAGGCAGAAGCCGACAGAACGAGAGCACAAGATAACCAGGGAAGAGGAAGGATGTGGGAAGCGGTTACTTGAGGAGGAACATGAACTTTATTACGTTAGGCTGAAGATTGAGAAAATAGATCTGCAATGATGCAATGGTTTGCTGTTGGCAGCAACGTAATACTGAAACACAGCAGTTTAAGGCAGCCATGTATCAAGTAATATCTCCTGACAAACATGCCATCCATAGGAATGATGAAGCTCCTAGTTCAGTTAAGGGAGATGGTGACTCTTTCTGCCCTACGTGTAATTTACAAGTCTTCTGTCTCTGTGCCTGGGCACAACCTGGTTATTGTGATGGCTGCCTGCAAGTTTGAGCCTGGAGAATCAAAATATTCCCAGGGCCTACCAACCCCTAACAGCTGCAAGGAGCAGTAACAGAAGACAGACATGTGCTACAGGGAGTGAACCAGACATGGCCAGGCAGGGGAAGCACAGGGAAACCAGCTTTTTGAAATGAAGCAGTGTCCTTGCAGAGCACACAGGAGCCAAGGCACTGTGACAAGTAGACCACCTCTGGCTCTGGGGGCTTGAGGCTCTGCTTTTGGCACTCTGTGCAGCCCTGCTTGCTGAGCTGAGGTTTTGTTAACATTGCTTCCTCAGGGCAGGGTTTCTGGAGGCACAGCCATTCCTAGGTTGTATAAAGCAAACTAGAAACCTTCCCAGTGCTGCTGTTGTGTCACCCATCCCCTTGCTGCCCCACACTTCACCTCTGAGCAGATACCAAGTGGTGACACTATCTTGCAGATGCATCAGCTTCACCTATCCTCCTAAGAAAAAATCCTGGCATTCCTGTGCCTTAGCCGAGACATCATTCTGCACCATCAGCCAGAGCTTTGGCTCTTGACCAGCTGCCCCATCTCTGCATGACTAAGTGGATGATTCTGGGGGCTTCTGCAGAAGGATGCCCTTGAGCAGGAAAGGTCAGAGGGAGGGGAGGACAAGGCCAGGGCTCCTTGTTTTGAAAGGGTCAGTGCATTAGCTTTTAATTTCAACAGTTTCAGTCCCTTAGCCTTGCCTGTACTCCCTGAAGCATCCAAATGAATTTAATGTTTTCTATCAACTCAGTTGCTCACTTGGGAAGTGGATCTTGGGCAGCTTCACCTCTTTTATTTCTTCCCCTACAGATTTCTGTTGGACTGGAGGAAACATGTTTTTCTTTGTGTATGTGGGTAATAACATTGAGTTTCTGTCTTTTTGTAGAGTGAAGAACTTTATGCTGCCTTTTCACTACATTCTTTCTGTATCTTTTAAGACCCATTAGGCAGGTGCTAGCTTGTCTGTGGGAGTCTGCTGTTGTCTCTTGATCAATCCTGTGAGAGCTTCCTATTGTGATAGGATCACTTGGAGTCTTTGGTCTTGTTGGTGAGCTGCCTGGGACAATGAGAAATATGATGGAAGGTTGTTGGGTACCCATCCTGGCTTTTTAGCTCTTCCAAGTATGGAGAAAACAAGAAAGCAGGAGTGCTGGAGTCTGTGTTTTGGCTTCCCTGGCCTGCTCACTGCTTGCTGTGGTTGTCTAATTCCAAATCCACTTCCTTGTGGATTTCACAGTCAGAAAAGCATTGAGGTCTTTGAGGTACTTTTCACCTGAAGGATTCCTAGAGCCCGCATATTGGTGTTCTGAACAATCGTCTCACATAAGCCCTATTGAAGTCAATGGGAGGCTTCAAGATCAGGCATTGTCACGTTGCCTTGTTTTCTTAGCCCCATGCCTGGATTTGGAAGCTGTCAAGTGCTCCTGCCACAGAGATGCAGCAAACAAATGCAGGTGTTTCCAGTTTAACGAGAAGTCCTATAAAGAGCTTGTAACTATCCCCTGACTCCATGGGATGATAAAATTGACAAGGATCTGCTTGTTCAGGGCTTGTAAAAAAAAAAAAGAACAGCTGCTAAGATTTGGTTATTTTGTTTTGTGCTTCAATGTTCCTTATGTCTCAGTGGTAAATAGGGCCTGAAAATCATATGTATTCTTTTTAACATTTGGAATAGTAATACATGTTGCAATTTGTGTCCAAGCATCCCAAGTTCATGATAAATGTATGATCGTTTCTGAGAGAAAAAATACACAGCTGTCTAAATGAGACATCTTGCAGACTAAAAATACCTTGGCTTATGCATTTGCTTATTAGGTTTTTCTCATTTAAAACCGTTACTAGTCATACCTGACTAGGCAGGGGCACAGATTTCTACACGGTCTGGTGATACCAGAGCTTTTCTGCAGCAAATTGCAGCATGCTCCGTCCTGCGCCCCCCCGTGGCCTCACAACAAATTTTGTCTGTCGTTTCTGCGCAAATCCTGTTACTGAAATAGCTAGAGTCAATGTATTGTTAAGTAGATCCTTGATCTCAAGACTCTGCTTAATGACAGAGCAATGAAAATAAAGCCAGGAGCTACCTTCAGCACTCTTGGAAGGAACCGGGAGGTCTGGAGCCTGCCATGATTTATTTTTCCTGCTGCAGAGCCAAGCCACCTGCCGCCTTGTTTGGTCCGTGGTACACAAATTCACTGAGAAATCTGGCATCGGGATGGCTTGGTACTTTTCAAAGCATCTCTTTTTAATGTCATGAATTTGGTAACCTGAGAGGGCTTGTACAATCAAAGATGTGTGGAACCCACGAGATCAGTCTGAGCGTCATGTATAACCTATACACTGTTGGGTCTGGCTTTCAGTTGTGTCAAGGTCTCTTATTTTTCCTCTCCTCCTCTTCTTCTTTTTCTTCCACTGCATTAGGCACATGGCAACACAGCTTTGCATATGGCAGCTGCATTGCCTCATGACAAGAACCAGAAAGAAATTGTCCAGTTGCTCCTTGACCACGGTGCAGACCCGAGCATCCGAAACTTAGACAATGATCAGCCAATCCATATGGCTCCGTCTGGAAAAGCTGGAGATCAGGTACATGATCTGCATTGCTGCTGCTTCCTAACACGTCTGTGCACACCACAGCTGCCTGTCCTTACCAGGGGAATAGTGAGGACAAGTTATATGACATGCGTCTGACATTGCAGTGGTATAGGCTTGAGGGTTCCCCGCACAATGAATCCACAATCGAGGAGCACAAAGTAGGTGTTAGCTGGTACTCCAAACACATCTGGGGAGGTATCAACACGTAGTTCTTTCATAATTGCAGCAAATCTCAAGGGCTGATCAGGTCTCATGCCTACAGGTATGGAAAGGCTCCTGGAGCTCTTTGTAGTCTCTGATATGTTTATATGTGTATTTAGTTGCACATATACATGTGTATAAGTGTGTTTAAGTATGTATTGCCCATCTGCATGCACAGTTTCAGATGATACATTATGAATGTCTCCATTTTTTGGCAGGTTAGGCATTTGCTGAAGAAAGGGAAAGTTGCATCTACGTTCATTTCCTGTCACCAAAATGCCAGATCCTAGGTTGTCTGCAATTTCTGGAATGGCTTCAACTTCAGCTTGCTGATTGCACAAGGCCTCTTAGAAAAACCGTGAGAATGATTAATCAACACATCTCTGCTCCTAGAGTCTTCAAACCAGGGTGAGATGACAGCGTTTCTCAGGCTGTGGACCATGAATAGCATGTAAGGTATCAGACCATGAGCTTTCAAATGGTTGAAAACTTTATTTTGCTAACAAAGAATACTAATAAATCTCAATAGTTGCTTGCAAGCAAGGAGGCAAGCAAAGCAAATTGCTGTTACAGAAAAAAACAAGTGTTTGAAGTACAGCCAACCTCTGATTTGGTGGCAACCGAAACCGATGGTGTTGACAGAACATAAGATTTGACTATAAAAGGCTGAAAAATACTGCTTTAAGATGTGCTTGAACTGTGTCTCTAGTTAAATCCTGTACAGAGGTGCTGGTTGAAATGCTGAAGCCTTTGTGATGTGCAATTACCTCCGTTGTTCCTGCTATGCAGGAACCTGAGGGGGAAGGAAAAGACTGGATGGAAGAAGTCAAGTCAGCCTAAGGAGTCAGTCACCCATGGCTGTATTTCACCTAAGTGAACGGACATCTGAACTCAAGAGCTCCAGCTGAGGGGTCCTGCAAGCTGCAACTACTCCACTTCTTAGCACTTCGTGGAAAAAAGCTGAAGCAGCTGCCCGTTGCCACAGTCTCTCACCCCACCCCAAGAGAAGAAAGCAGATGCTTATAAGAGCAAGTACATGGGGCAGGGTCTCAGCAGTGCAGGTCTGTGTGGCTCCTGAGTGTTTCCCAGTGAAAGGATTCCTCCTTGGGCCATCTGATGCAATCCACGTCTCCAGCTCTGATGGCAAAGACTAGCTCTGGAAGCACCCCAGAGTGAGGAGCTGAACTTTCACCTGAGCTAATGCCTGTGTAGGAGACAGAGGCCTCCTTTGTGTCTTCAACAGCTTTTAGGCATGGACAGGGTAGAAAACTTTTGAGCTGTGCGAGACTGTACACAGCAGGGTCAGAGTGCAATGTGGTAAGTGCTCTCCTATTCCCATTCTTATCTAAGAGGGCGTTTTAATAGATTCTTGTTATACTTTCTGTGAAATGATTTGTGAATTGCTGTGCAATCAACTGGCAACAGTGTCTCTGCTGGGTCAATTCCACTGAAGGTGGGTGCCTGAAGAGAGTGAAAGCCATGTTTTGACAACCCTTTCACAGAGGGTGCCTCATCTTCAGTACACATCCTGAATTTTACTTTGTTGATTTCTCACTGTTGCACAGGTTATTTTTTCTAACAGAACTGAACAGTAAGATGAAGGGCAGGTGACTTAAATCACTGCAGTAACTTCCTTGATCATCCACTGACTAACTCGATGGGATGGGGTTTTCTAAAGCACTTGTCAGTCTCACAGACCTGGACTGTTTAAACAACTGTTTAGCAGACTTGAACAAAAGCTCTTAAGAAATGCAGAGGTTTTCTCAACTTTCTCAGCCTTCCTCTCTGCTGTTTTGCTATTGCTTCTCACTACATCATATCTGCAAACCTGCCAACATCCGCTGACAAAAAAGCTGACGTATTTGCATGTGTTTGCATAAATTTGCATGCATCTGGGCATAGGCCAGCAAAAGCATGTGCTTTCTTACTTTGAAGGGATGTTATAACAAGCCTTGAATTGAGTGATAACTGCATTGGTGAGTTAGTACTGTGTGGCAGACAAAATGGTCAATAAAATACCTGTTTCTTGAACTTTCTAGTAATAAAAACTCTAAAACTGTGACCACCGTGTGATGCACTAGGAAAAATGTAAAAAGCTTTTTGCTATCTAGAAATGTCTACGAGATGACAGAAGTCCTTCTACAGCAAGTGAAGAGAAAATACATGAGCTGTTTTCTAGAGTGGCTTATCTCTTTATTACTCCATCTGCCTTCTGTTGCCATCAGTGACTTGTAGTCTGTAAACATCATCATCTCCAGAATAATCAGGGAAAATTCCAGTCTGGGGAAGGATGGATGTGGCTTCATTCAAAGCATTACCCTGGCAGCCTGTGTTACTTGGAGCTGATAGATCAGATTTGCAGCAGGAAGATCCCACGACTGACCCAGGAAGGATTCATTCTCTCCACAGGCACATCTGTGTTCAGAATCCCAAAGCTCATACATCAGAGGCCTGCTCTGAAGCCAGTGACAATCAACAAGCCATTCATATTGTCTTTGGACTGGATCCACGAGACAGTTGGAGGCTGCCGCTTTCCATTCATGTAAAGCACCTTTCCCTTTCCTTGTCAAGCCAGTCAGATCCTGGCCTGTGTATGAAGAAAATCTCTTTTAAATCTCAAAGGTGGCCTGAGTGTTAAGTCTTCTGTGCTGGGGAGAATTTCATTGATTTGAGCAGTACTGCAGTTCACAGTTAACGCCTCAAATTTTATGACTCACTCAGGGGAAATGTACATTTTATAACCTTAGCAGTACTGGCAGTGTGTGATACCCCTTTATTTGCACAGTTTATCTCTTCCTACCTGTGGCTTTGGATAAGTTGCTAATAACAAAGGCTTGTTATCACCAAACAAATGTTCTGTACCATAGAAAAGTTGCCAGTCGGTTGGCAAGGAAAAGTTTTTGATCAAATATTCTGTGCAACTGGTAGAGAACCTGAAAATAAGAACCTTTTATTTTCTCCATAACTGTGGATGCTCCTGGAATTATTCATGGCTTTTGTAAGAACAGGGTGATTCTCACTTTTGTGTAAGCACTGTGCCCTTGTGGCCAAGAAGGCCAATGGCATCCTGGGGTGTATCAGGAGGGGGGTGGTTGTAGGTCGAGAGAGGTTCTCCTCCCCCTCTACTCTGCCCTGGTGAGACCGCATCTGGAATATTGTGTCCAGTTCTGGGCCCCTCAGTTCAAGAAGGACAGGAACTGCTGGAGAGAGTCCAGCGTAGGGCTACAAAGATGATCAAGGGAGTGGAGCATCTCCCTTATGAGGAGCGGCTGAGGGAGCTGGGTCTCTTTAGTTTGCAGAAGAGGAGACTGAGGGGAGACCTCATTCATGTTTATAAATATTTAAAGGGTGAGTGTCACGAGGATGGAGCCAGGCTCTTCTCGGTGACAAACAATGATAGGACAAGGGGTAACGGACACAAACTGGAACACAGGAGGTTCCACTTCAATTTGAGAAGAAACTTCTTCTCAGTGAGGGTGACAGAGCACTGGCCCAGGCTGCCCAGAGAGGTTGTGGAGTCTCCTTCTCTGCAGACATTCAAAACCCGCCTGGACGCCTTCCTGTGTAACCTCATCTGGGTGTTCCTGCTCCGGCAGGGGGATTGGACTGGATGAGCTTTGGAGGTCCCTTCCAATCCCTGACGGTCTGGGATTCTGTGATTCTGTAAATACGTAGTTATACAGGCACCCAGACCTTCACCTGGCAGGGACTGATGAAATGCCAGTGTTTCAGTAGTGCTGTGCCAGCTCTGTTCTGTTGAAGATATGACCAAGCTACTTTCTTTTAACCTCCCTCTTTGCTGGGGGGTGAGTGGGGGAGGGGGGGGAGAATGGGGTGGAGGGAGGAATAAAAGGAGGAAAGAATATGTTCCTCATAGCCAAAAAATGCACAATCAACCTTTGAATAGTTTTCCTCTGTTGGGTTTTTTTTTCTTTGCTTGTGTCAACAAGGTATCAGTGTGTCAACAGTCAGCAAGCTTTTACTTGCTCTGCATATGTCACCTGGAGCTATTGACATGGAATTAGGGTACGATGTCTAAAACAAGTTTGTAGTCCCTGGCTTGGGGGATTGCAAAACAACTGGTGAAAGAACAGCAGGGAAATAGGAAGAGACTGCAAGGGATGAAGGATAGCTCTACTTACTTAATGGCAGCTGTTAGAGTCCAGAGACTCCAGCAGAGCAGCTGATAATTTCAGAGCAGCTGGTCTCACACACAGCATGAGGCCAGTAGCTGTTAAGTATCTTCCGTTTTAAAGAACACACTGCATACTCCCTCGTCAAGACCTCAGCCACTTGTGAGCCCTGCAAGTGTGGAAGCTCAGTGGTGAGACCATACCAGCCCTTCAAGAGACAGCTTACCTCACAGCAGGGGTGTTTTTTCTCGCCTGGGTCAGGCAACATCCAAGGAACAGGATTAAGAATGGGATGCAGTGCTCATGGGCACAATGCTATCACTAAGAGGTCATGCCTAAGCTGCAGCCATAGGTTCAATGGTGGGCACAACCTGTCCACTGCACACCACAGTCTTTGCACAGAGCAGTCCTCTTTGGAGATGTAGTGTAACCACTGATAGCTGTGCTGATCTATGCCACAATATACTGATAAATGTGCAACCTGTCCATAATGCATTAGGGTTTTTTTCATATATGTTGGATTTAATATGGAGAGATGCTGCTTTCTTTCCAGTCTGGATGCTCAGCTGAGAAACTGGTGGCTTGGCAGACTGCCACACCAAGTGCTATTAAAAGGAGGTGAGACACAGTCTTAGAAAGGTCTGGGTTTATGCAAGAAACAGAGAATCCTCTGGTATGATAACTTTCCCATTATCTATTTTAAAAAAATCATTTAGCTCCTATTAAGTTGATTATGCTGAAAGGTGGAGAAAACCCGGTATCAACAAACTAAACTACACAAAGGGCTGCTGAACAACATCAGCCTCTTGCTGAAACTCTGCCTTCACAGGGAAGCTGTTACTGAGCAGCAGCCAAAGAATTTTGGCACTGGATTCAACCTCTGTGCAGGCCTGAGGGGCCTATCTGGCACACGACCCACAGGCTAAGCCCTGAGCTTGCATGGAAAACAGTGGTTTCCCTTTTCTGCAAGAATCACTAGACAATATCGTCACGGCAGCCTGAACAGAAGCAGTGGCTAAGAAACTCTGGATTCATCTCAGAGTGGGTGCTGCATAGCTTTCTCTCTGGATCGTGTGCTGGGTGCTGAGACACATGGAGACTTTGTTCACTGGAAAGGGTAAGTGAGACCTTTCATATTGCTGAGTAATTGCTCCTTGTGTAGGTTGCTAAGATTCTCTCTTCCTCACGTTTGTGAGAACAGGGTCAGGATCTTGTATCATTCACAGAAAAGCACTACAATTTAGCACATGAGGAATGAACAGGCTTCAGAATGTGTACCAAATTATTTATTAGTATCAAAAAGAGCTGGCTAATGACATGTGTTTGGTAAGGCAGCTTAGGATTTCTGTAAAAAACAACAGCTAAAACAAACAAGAAAAAAACCAAAACCAAACCACCACCACCACAAGAACAACAAAATGCTCCTGACTGTACAGGACAGGAGGACTAATGTAGTGACA